AAAAAAAAAAAAAACGTTGGTAAGCATATTTAGGGTGAGGAGAATTATGTTTTGATTAGATCTACGTATTGACAGGTGTAATGATACTATAAGAAATTTGATTGTACTGAAATAAAACATAAGTCACTTGTTTGCTAGTCTTCAAAACTTTATCCACCCAGGCCTTCAGAGCCTCAGCCTGCTCTTATAGATAGGGAACTCTAAAAAATKCATTGCTCAATAATGTTATTAGTTTTGTATTTACATAATTACCTACAACATTTTTTTTTACTTTAAATCTCCATGTAATAAATAACAGGATTTCTGCTTATAACACGACTACTATAGTAATTGTTATTTTAACCATATTGATTATGTTTGATGTTAATTAATTATTATTGTTTTTTAGGCATTGGAGCATTTTATTATGCCATATAACATGAACAATGCTAATAAAGCTGGATTATTTGGTATTCAAACATTATTCTTTTATGAGTATGGTTTATCTTTTGCACAAATAGCAAGAGATAGCGCTCTTAAAGCATTATCACTAAATGGAACTGAAGCGGAATGGTATTTTTTGATGGCTAAAGTATTAACGAACTGGCAAAGAACATGTGGCAATTATTTTGAATGTTCTGAACAAGAAATTAAGGCATCTGAAATGGCTGTTAAACTTGGTAACAAGGATCATCACAAATTGCATTTAGTCCATATATATCAACGGATGAGTAAAAACATGAATAAAAATAAAAAAGCCAAAAATACAATTCTAGATGAGTCATTAAAATTGATTATGTTAGTTTTATTTGTCAAGTTTTATTAGTTGTCAATTATTTTCTTTCTAGCCATTTAAATTATTTTTATGAACATTTTTTTTTAGTGAAGTCATAGACAATACAAAAGATTTGCTTTTGCTAAAAAGTTGTTTAATTAGCTTATCGAAAATTTCTCAAAATCAAGAGTATAACAATGATATTACTATCATCTTGAATCAACTTATTGATACATTAGAACATAGTGATAATGGTTATGTTCATGGGGCAATTGGAAACTACTATTTGTTTAATAAAAAGGTAACTTGGTACATAATAATATGACTAACACATACAAATGTACAACCAATGCTATACCTATATGAATCTTGGAAAAAAAGTCCTAATGTACAACGTTACACCACCTTTAATAATATAGACTTGATTTTAGGTGTTACCTTTTATTTGTGTGACGATTGGCAGTCGTATGTATACTGATAATCGTTTCGATATAATGATAAAATGTAGTAATAACTATAATGTTATAATGGAATAACATATACAATAGTCAAAGTCAATAATACATAAATAAATATAAAATATAAAATACATAAATATAAAAATATAATAATACAATAATATGCAAAATAATATTTTAATCACACCTCTTTCTGATATTGTGACTTATGGCTGTTAAAAAATCTAATACACCAATTTTTCCAACATAAGTATAACTTAGTATACCTAACGATGATAACTTGTCGTGCAATATAAATATATAATTTATAGTTTGTACTTTCGGAATTTTGCAGAATGTCTCTTGTTAATCGGTAAATTTTTCACTAAACTTTTGTCTGGGACTTTTTTCCTAGTGTGGGACTTTTTTTTCCGTTTAGCACCTATATTGCATATAATATATAGATTTGCTTTTCACCATATAAAAAGTAAATCTAAATTTATTTATTAAATAATGCGATACGTTTTTTAAATTTTTTTATAAACTTTTTAGGATTATGTAAAGGCAAATTTTCATCTTAAGAAAGCTTATGATGTCAAAAGCTTTGGTAATTCTATTGATTACATTTATACATTCTATAAAATAAATCCAAAAACCGCGCCAATAGAACAAATGATGGTAGACTTGTTGAAAAGATTTCCTCATCCTGTTCACCAAGAAAAACTTCTAAGTCAAATTGTATCATATTTACTTCTAACCAAGAATGATCTTATTCGAGCGCTCAAGTACATCCCAATGTTGTTGAGCATTAAAAATGTGACTTGTGTTTACAGCCTTCAGGTATATGAAAAAAAATTTTATTTAATTTTTCGTTGTACTAAAAACATTGTTGTAAAATTGTTTATAGACACATAGAACCAAGTTTAGTGAATATACTAAAGAAGTTAATTTGTTAGACGTTTTATCCGAAAAACTCTCTATAGCATTAAAAAATACAACATTGTCAACAGATGATCACGAAAAAATTATAGAGGTTATGAAAATACTAGAATCATATAAATTATATGTATCAAGTTTGATGAAAAATAAAGAACACATTTTTGGAAACAAAGTTACAGGCAATACTAAAGCCAAAACTGTATCCTATAATATTGACAGAGAACGTAAAGAATCATGGACCCATATAAATTCTAAACAGATTATGAATCCTATCCAGARTAAGGAAGAAGAAGGTAATTGGAGAACTTTAAAACCAGATTCTACACCAAAAACTACAATTTTTATGCGTAATAACCCAACTCAGATTAAAAAACCATGGTGAGGAAATCAAAAAAACTTATAAATTGAATTCATAAAYAAACGTTTTTAATATGAAATCAATTAATATAATATATTAATTACTTTTTAATATTATGTACTGTGCAGTTATTGTTGTTAATTAATTAATTGTTAAATATTAATCTGCAGTTTAAAGTTATTTATTATTTTATGCCTAATTTATAATTTTTACTAATAAGTTGATTGAAATATTTTTTTTTTTATTAGATTAATTATTCTTTTTTAGAATGGTGTCAATAGACAATGTYTTCRCCAACAAAACATGTTCTATAATCAACCTATTTTAAAAATATATAACAGTATCAGTAATGTTTGATTTGAATTTACAATATTTGATTCAATTTTGACTTTAAATTATTGGTAGTTATTGGTAGAAATKTAATCTTGTTAGAATTAAATACCTTATTATCCTCTCTCACAGCATCCTATTGTTTTGTTATGGTCATACAATATTAATTCTAAAGTCAATTCTCGAAACCGAACACATGAAAAAATAACCTATGCGCTATTTAATCTATATATATATATAATAAACTTGATTTATTTAATAAGTTTTACATAAATATTATGTGATAATACCAAAAGATTGTAATTTAATCTGCCCAGCCACTACACTATTACTAACTATATTCCATCAGCAATATATTATTGTATTTTTTTTGGAATTAAAATAAAAAAAAAATATTTTCTATATAACTGATAGAATGAATAGTATAACGACTAATTTAATTAATTTAGTTATTGTTATTATTTGTTATTTAAATCAGAGGTTAGTTATAATAATATCAGGCAGACTGTACTGGTGAGATATTAGGTAACTTTTAGAATACTGTTTAATAAAAGTATTTAATGCCGTATTCTGAATACTTAATAGTTATTATAAAACATTTTATTTTATATTTATTGTTTTGCTATAAATCTTAAACTATCAAAGTTTAATATTTTGACACTGACTATGATTTCAAATTTTACTAAAGGCAGGTATCATTATTTTAATTTCTTAAACAAAAAATATCTTAAACTATTCGGAATATTATTTTTCATTATTATTTGAGTATTTATTCCAAATATTTTTCAAAAGTATTTAACCAAAGCCTGCAGTCAGCTTTAAGCCAATTTAARTTAACTGTTGACATTTAAGAATATTCTTTCTATTTCCAGATTTTGTTAAAAAACATTTAATCCATTTATTTGTTTGAAATATTTTGAAAAAATCTATTTTTAATGCCTGTTTATRTTTTATTTTGTTTCAAAAAAATTACCTAAAAAAAAGATAGTTTTRGAAAAMRAWTTTTTAGTTAATTAATATTTCAATATTTTATATTGGCATATTGTATTTAAATTAAAAATATGGTCTMAGTATCGACTGTTTACTGATACCTGCAACCTGCTGACAATCTGATACCACATTTTTTATTTTTATTTATGAAAATATTGTCTTACAATAACCCTTTTGTTTTGCATTGTCTGAGCCTCTTGGGCGATTATACTTTTTGGAAACATTCAAGAATGTTTATTGTAGAAGAGTTGTTACTTGTATACTAGAATAGTGTACTGCATGTAAATTTTATTTAAAATAAAATTGATTATACCTACATTAATTATCTAGTGTAAGTTGATATTTAGATGTACACTTTTAGTGTTTGTTCGATTGTGAGCATAACTCAAAAATAAAAAAATTATCCAACTGAGTTCACTTCGTAATAAAAACAATTGTTTTCTAATTTTCTAAACAATTCATATTCTGATGAATGACTTATTGAAACATAAAATTTAATATCAGTATATCACTAATGCTTTTTTTTTAATTTTAATATGCCAAGCAATGGCCTCTAAAACTTATTTAAACTCATTACAAAGTAAAAGGTGATATGTATGTCAGCAACATTGTGATACGCATATTCCTCACTTTTTTCTGTGTGTTACATTCTCCGTCTCTTATTGGTCGCACATATTAAACCATAAAAATCAGAGAACCTAACACATA